TCCCTTTTCATGATTGTATTTTAATAATGTGGAAGGAAAACATGCTTTTAATGAAGAAAAATATATTAAAGTATTTCCAGAATGTATATGAAAACTTTTTTCTTTTAAAAAGCAGACATCTCTCCTACAGGGACAGATGTGGATTTTGTGAAGAAAAACAGGTTTTATGGGAAAAGAATAACTTAAGTTCTCATATTCTACTAAGGTTGGAGGCAGTTAATAACTATGTCATCTTCCATGTCATCCAGCACACAGTCCCTAGTTATGAGCTGAATTTTAAATTCAGTCTGTGAGGCCCCTTTCCAAAGCTCTCTTAGGTCGATGGTGATCATTCCATCAACTTTCCATTGACTTCAGCCAGCTTGAAAACAGCCTCCAGGAGAACAATATCTGAAACTAGTTCATTCTTGTGACAACTAAATAGCTAACAACTTACCTCTCTCTCAAGGTCTGGCAGTCACTCTAGCCATTAAAAAAAATCTCTGCACAGTTGGCCTACATTATAAGCGCAGTTTCACTTTGCACAGTGCTGTTAATGAACACAGTCCCAATGATCACATAAATCTTAATATCCCCTACAGCTAAATAAAAAGTTGGAAGCTGATACATCTATGCAGTACAAGATGGTGCTCTAGAAACACTTTTAATCATGTGCGGGAGACTGCTAGAGCCATGAATTGCTTAGGAAAAAGGAAATAAACACTGTCCTGCTATCACTGAGATACATAGACCCATAAGGATGAGATGCGTTATGTGAGATTAGAAAGAAAACAAGGCTGCACAATTCTCCTAAATGTTAGGTAATGCTTATGAATCCACAGCACATAAGAAAATACAGCAACAACCCTCAGTAACTACCACAGAGCTACTGTGTGTATGCATATCTGGCTGCTGAATCTATCTGTAACCTTACTGGGTTCAAACCCTGTTCACAAGAAAAGGGACATTCATGGCATAAATGCTATTGAGCATTTTGCTCTTGCTCCCTTTTTCCAAAGGAGGCACAAGGCAGGATGGGCCACTGGTTGGAGGGCAACAAGTAGCTTAAAAGGAGCTACTTTCCCTTCCTCACAGCCTTTTGTTGCAGGGGTTGTCCTACCCACCATCCCATGTAATAGTGCAGGATTAGCTATTTGCTATTAAGGGCCAAGCAAGAACTGGGAGTGAGGGTTCACCTGATTGGCTTGGGGAGAAACCTTTTTTCTTGCCTGCTTCGCAGTGTTCCTGAGGGACTAGTGTTTAGTTAACTAGGCCTGGTTGTACATTGGTCAAGCCACAGATAGTTGGCAGAAATGGGGTCAGTTGCTCAAGTTAAGTAAACAGAATTGGCAAACACTCTGAGGCATCAGGCCTGATGGAAGGTGTGTTCAAAACAGACCATCACATGCTTTATGGCTGGATGTGCCAGAAAGGAGAGCCCTTGGTGCTGACCAGCATCTTTCTAAACCTGATAGGGGCCTTACAGCATGTCAGGGGGAGAGGATGATACTGGGAACCTGTTGGCACACAGTACATGTGCACATGAGGACAAACAAGGCTGGTGTAAACACTGGCTAAGTTTGGAGCCAGGCTGGACCTGCCCATAAAAGGTAGCCACAGTGTCTACCTAGCATAGCCCACCCATGGAATAGTTCGATCATGGTAATAAGCAACAATGTTGATCAGCTATTTAAATAAAACGCCCAAAAAGAACATGCTTAAAAGTGAGAAAACATATTGATATTCTCTCTCTCTCTCTCTCTCTCTCTCTCTCTCTCTCTCTCTCTCTCTCTCTGTCTGTATCAATAGGACAACCTGGTTTCTTATACTTTTGGTCATAAACTTCAATTGAAGATTACACTTTTGTAATCAGATCTATGAGCCTTGGTACCTGCCAAATTGAAGGCTGTTTCAGAAACTTGATTATCAGGCTGAGAACATTGCTTAGAAAGTCAGTGTTAACTAATAAGTAGAGGAGGTAATAAAAGGTGTGAGGGAAGAATGCACATTTTCCCATGTGACATTTCTGATGTAACTCCAGGGCCCTTAAAGCTGGAGGGTGTGTGTGTGTGTGTGTGTTTGTTTTACCCACAAAAATCCACTGAGAAATCTGGTCATAGATCTCCCAAAATGCAGCAGCCAGACTGTTGATGGGTCTCCCTATGCAGGAGCACATCCAGCCTGTGCTAAAGGCATTGCACTGGTTGCCAATAGCATACCGGATTCACTTCAAGGTGCTGGTTCTGACCTCTAAAGCCCTATATGGCCTGGGGCCTGCCTACCTGAGGGACTGCCTTTCCTCACATGTTCCCCAGAGAGCACTGAGGTCAGGGTCTCAAAATCGTTTGGCCCTCACTGGACTGAAAAACACCAGACTGGCCTCTACCAGGGCCAGGGCCTTCTCAGTAGTGGCTCCACACTGGTGGAATGAGCTCCCAGAAGACATCAGGGCCCTGCGGGACCTTGTACAATTCCGCAGGGCCTGTAAAACAGAGCTCTTCCACCAGGCCTTCAATTAGGAGCCGTCCTGAGCCTGCCTTGTCAGGGAGGGTGGGATAAAAATCGAATAAATAATAAATAAATAAATACTTTTTCTAATTGTCAAATCTGGTTGGGCAGAAATGCAGATTATAAAGCTAAATAAATAAGAAATATATGAAGGATTCTGACCATTTACAAAGCAATATTTAAATGATTAGTTATAGTTATCTTCATTCGGTGTGAAAGAACTAGTCACAAATAATTTCCTTTAAGGCTTCAAATGGTATTTCTGAAATTGAAAACTTCAGTTATTCTCTCCCCATACAAATTTGGAGTTAAAAATAGTTAGAAATATGAGGGGAAGAATGCATATATGCCACATAACCCCAATTGTCAGAAAATTCCATGTCCAAGCACATTCTTCCAATGAAGAATTTCTACATTAACTAGCACTCATTCATTTAAACTCAATTTCAATCATTTTGATTGCCCCCCTATATACACTGTTCAAAACATTTGCCTTCCAGCCATGGCACTATAATGAGGAGAGGGATTCTCTTTACCACCATTTGCATTTTACTGATGCTAACAGGTCATTATCCTCTGACACTCAGCTGTGCATTATGAGAAAGCAGCTCAGATAAAGACAGACCCTGTCAAATGGGGGGTGGGATGCTTCCTTTAAGCAATGCAGCATGAAATGGCTGCTGAGAAAAGCAAAAACTCTGTGCAGTTGGAACTTCAAGAAAAAATGCTCACGTGAGAGATGAGACAAATATGAAATTATTCGAGTGGAAGAAATCTGTTATTGCCTACTCTGTCACAGGGAGCATAAATGGCTTTTATCTTGCTGAGTTTCACATAAACAAACAAATTGACATTTGAATTTGAAGGGGAAAAAATGTGTTTTTTTGTCAAAGGCAATATGTGGATTTTTAAAAAATATCTAAAAGCATTTCCACATTACCAAAGAATCAAATTCAGTAAAATTGTGTACAATTATGTAAAAACTGCAGTCTTACTGCGGCGTTCCCATGAGTTTCTCATGAGACAGCAGCACTATACCCTGTACCTGTATCACAGAGGAAAAGTAATTTTGCAGATACTGGATCCAGGCAAATTTTGGATCCAAACTAATTTTTCCATTACCAGGATGGAACTTTCCTGCCTCCATGTCTCCCACTACAGTCCATTGAACCACCCAAAATGCTAGTCCTGGGGTGACAGAGGACCTTAAGGAACAGCATGGGGTGATATTCATTGGGAAGGGTGAATTGTTAGAAACTGCTAGTTTAGTCAGGGTCCAACCTATTGTGTCCACAGCTTTCTTTTCTTTTCATTTGAGAAGATACATGATTGAAAGGTAGAGTGCTAGAGTTGCCAAGCTCCAGGGGAGACCTGGAGATGTCCAAGAATTACAACTTACCCACAGACTACAGAGATCAGTCTCCCTGGAGCAAACGGCTGCTTTGGAGAGTGGGCTCTATGGCATTGTGCCCTGCTGAGGTCTGTTCCCTCCCCAAATCCTGCCCTCCCCAGGCTCTACCAGAGCTGGCAACTCTAGTGAGTACAGTGTATGCCTGAATATAATATAGAACTGGCCATTGGAAAGGAACATGGAAAACCTTAGAAGTTTTTTAAAAAGGAAGGTATGAATGCTTGAATGCTTCAGTGGCCCCACAATGAAACGTTATTCAGCCTCTGAATCCCCCCCCATTATACATGCACAGTTTAAAGTGGTCACATATAAACAGTCACATCAGCAGGTGCGATAGATTTCGAATAATCATTAATGATGTCACAGGAACTATCTGGTAACAAGTGCAACTTTTATTTAGCTCTGAAAAAGCCTTAAGTATATAAAGTATCACAACAGTTCAGGACAGAGTCTTCTGAATGTGTGCTAGTTCTCTTCCTCTGAAGGTGATGTTGCCAGAGGTCCCCTAATATACTTTACAAAGAGTTTGGTGTAGTGGTTAAGTGCGTGGACTCTAATCTGGGAGAACCGGGTTTGATTCCCCACTCCTCCATTTGCACCTGGCTGGATGACCTTGGGCAAGCCATAACTCTGGCACAGCTGTCCTTGAAAAAGCAGTTTCTGTCAAGAGTTCTCTCAGCCCCACCTACCTCACAGGGTGTCTGTTGTGGGGAGGGGAAGGGAAAGGATTTTGTAAGCCGCTCTGAGACACCTTTGGGTAGTGAAGGGCGGGGTATAAATCCAATCTCTTCTCCTCTTCTTCTTCTAAGCGTCTTCAAAGGCTTTTCAGCATGACCCAGGCTGGCCTGGAATGCTTTACTGATGTATATCAGGGTTAAGCTAACTTTAGGTTGCATTCAGCTGGCAACCAAGGTCACAAAAGCCCAGCAGCTGTTACACAGGGTCAGCAGAAGGCATATTCTTTTTCAGGATACAAGAAACCCATTTTAGACTAGAGAAAGTTGATTGCTCCACTGGAATAAAATATAGAAGTAATTGGATTTGCACTAATCTAAAAGAGGAGAACATGTAGTTTTATAACAGTGCAATAGCAAGCACTCACCATTCCTGTCAATGGCAAATGGAACATTTGTTGTGACGATTTCATAATTACAGATCTGGCTGTACTGAGGAGAACAATCCTCATCCATAGCTTCCACCTGCAGTATGCTGTCATAGATTTTTCCCTCTGTCACAGTGGCCTTGTAGGATGCTTCTTTAAATGTGGGTGCAAATTCATTGACATCCTTTACCTGGATATGAACCACAGCCCTAAAACATGAAGACAGATGAATTTGATTTTCAACATTTAATGCAAATAAGCATTTATTTTCAAAAACCTACTGTATTATGGTTTATAACTGACATGTCGGGCTCTTTTTTTAGGAGGATCTCCTTTGTATATTAGGCGACACACCCCTAATGTAGCCAATCCTCCAAGAGCTTATAGAGCTCTTCTTACAGGAGCTACTGTAAGCTCTTGGAAGATTGGCTACATTAGGGGTGTGTCGCCTAATATGCAAAGGAGTTCCTGCTACAAAAAGAGCCCATATGCTTAATTGTTATAAAATATATAGGAAATAAAATTATCCCTGCTAAAAGCTTACAAGTCACACATACATGCAAAGAAGTGATAAAAATCAAGACACGTGAATATGTGAACAAATGCAAGGGAAATTGAGGGAATGGAGTTTTTTAAAGGGACTCATTGCATTACCTGACATTCAGTTTCACTGCTCTGTTTCATTTTAATTGTTGAGTGTTCATACATGAAAATTTCCACGTTAAATAAAGAAGTGCTAGACTCTACAAACAAAGTGAGAGGACCTGAAGAAGCTTTACATTTTCTCAGCAGTTTAATCAATAGTAAGGCAGTGGACACCTTCTAGGGTTTGCAAGCTCCAGGGATAAGAGGACAAGTCCTCTTGTGGATTAAAAACTGGTTAATTAACAGGAAACAGAGAGTGCATATAAATGGGTCGTTTTCACAGTGGAAGGTGGTAAGCAGTGGAGTAGTGCAGGGCTTGATACTAGGTCTGGTGCTTTTTAACTTGTTCATCAATGATTTGGAGTTGGGAGTAAGCAGTAAAGTGGTCAAGTTTGCAGATGACACTAAGGTCCCGGTCACACGGAGGGTTTTGGCCCGGAAGAGGTACGGATCGAGGCCGCAGCAAATGGGCGCGATCTCACAGCAACATCTGGGAAGTGGCGCACACCCGTCCCTGATCCGTCCCTAACCCTGGAAACCCCGCAGCAAAAAAGAACCACCGACAGAGGTGGTCTTACCTGAACGGCCGCGACAAGCACGGCCATGGGATCGCTGGTGCGTCCTTCTGCCGGTGCATCCCCGGCTCCTGGCCGAACTGTGCATGTGGACGCATGCGCAGCCAGCTGCCTTGGTCTCCCGACCGTGGCTTCCTCCCCGACATCTGATCGTGCTGGGGAGCAACGGCGCCATGGCTCAGGGGATCCGTGTGATCCCGCTGCGGCGTGTCTATTTTGGTGCGGCTTCCAAAAGCCGCACTTTGGTCGCACATTTTCCCCCCTGTGTGGCAGGGGCCTAAGTTGTTCAGGGCAGTGAAAACCAGGGAGGAATCCAGAGGGATCTGTTGAGGATGGGCGAGTGGGCGTCAACGTGGCAAATGAGGTTCAGTTTGGGCAAGTGTAAAATAATGCACATTGGAGCCGAAGATTCCAACTATAAATACACGTTGATGGGATCCGAATTGGTGGTAACTGACCAGGAGAGAGATCTTGGGAGTCGTGGTAGATAGCTTACTGTAAATATTGACTCAGAGTGCAACTACAATAAAAGGCAAATGCTGTGCTGGGGATTATTAGGAAGGGAACTGAAAATAAATCAGACACCATCATAATACCCTGTATAAATCAATGGTGCGACCTCATTTGGAATACTGTGCACAATTCCGGTCACCACACCTCAGAAAGGATATTATAGCACTTGAAAAAGTGCAGAAAAGGGCAACTAGAATGATTAAGGGGATGGAACAATTTCCCTATGAAGAAAAGATAAAGAGGTTAGGCCTCTTTAGCTTGGAGAAACAATAAGGGGTGACATGACAGAGGTTTATAAAATTATGCATGAGATAGAGACGGTAGAGAAAGAAGTGTTTTTCTCCCTTTCTCACAATACAAGACCTTGTGGGCGCTCAATGAAATTGATGAGCAGTAGGTTTAGACCAGATAAAAGGAAGTATTTCTTCACCCAAAGAGTAATTAACATGTGGAATTCACTGCTGCTAAAAGTGATAAGCATATATAGCTTCAAGAGGGGACTGGATAAACATATGGAGCAGAGGTCTATCAGTGGCTATTAGCCACAAAGTATAGATGGAATACTATGTCTGGGGCAGTGATGCTCTGTATTTTTGGTGCTTGAGGGCAACAGCGGGAGGGCTTCTGGAGTTCTGGCCCCACTGGTGAATCTCCTGATGACACCTGGGTTCTGGTCACTGTGTGACACAGAGTGTTGTTCTGGATGGGCCATTGGCCCATCATGGTTTCTCTTCTGTTGGGAAACTCCTGGAGATTTCGGTGTTAATCCTAGGGAGGACAGTGGGGTATAATGCCATAAAGTCCACCCTCCAAAGCATCCATTTTCTTCAGGGGAACTGATCTCTGTAGTCTGGAGATTAACTGTAATTCCAGGGGATCCCCAGGTCCTACTTGGAGGCTGGCATCCCTATGATTTCCCCTGAAAACACAGTTAGCACAGTAAGGCTTGGGTGCTTCCCCCTTTTCTCCCTTAAGCGGAAAAGCAGCCAGGGCAAGTAATTTTGAACAGGAAGATAAAAAGGAATGGGTTGAACAGACACCCCATTTCTCTGATCCTCCAGATACTTTGTTAGGCAAAATAAATATAGCCAGATATGCCTTCTGCATATTGCTTAGCTTGACCCTGAAACACCCTCCCTCCACCTTGATAGACTTAAAGCTGAGTGAACTAATGGAATGAAGCAAGTGTTTCACAAAGAATGGAGACAAGACCCATACACTGAGTCATACTTCTTAAATGAGGGTTACAAAATTCTTAAATGAGGCTAACCCTCCTCCCAATCTTGGTTTCAAGTTAGATCAGTTGAAATTAATTATTTTCCCCTCCAAAAAACAAAACCAAGAAACACCAGAACATTTCTGAAATTCTGAAATTTGAACACTGTTGGCCTCCCAATTATATTACTTATAGCACAAAAGGACTTGATCACAGTCTTTGGTAACCCTGAAAAACCTGAGATTCCCTCATGCCCCATCCTAACTTTCTCACAATATATGCCCTAATAGTAACAGTCAGGGCTATTTTTGGGCAGGAACGCACAGGAACGGAGTTCCGGCTGGCTCCTGAGTTGGCCACGCCCAGCAGGAACTCATTAGCATAATAGGCCACACCCAACAGCAGAAACTCATTAGGATTTGCTACATTAGGGGTGTATGGCCTAACATGCAAAGAAGTTCCTGCTACAAAAAAAGCCCAGGGTTTTGGCAACAAAGTAAACAGAATAAGAAGCAAAAGGTGGGTGTGGCTGGATGACCACACTTCTGGTAACATGGGGGTGTGGCCTAATATGCTAATGAGTTTCTGCTGTTGGGTGTGGCCTATTATGCTAATGAGTTCCTGCTGGGCTTTTTCTACAAAAAAAGCCCTGGTAACAGTGTTGTGGAGACCTGTTGAGGAAGACTGGTGCCTAATGCTACATTATGTTCCTCAGCCCTTAGTAACAGAAGATTTCTGCAGAATAATGGAGGCCTTGATGGAAGCCATCCCTGTTGCTAATGCCAGGAAAAGATGTTAGTCACTGACTGCTCCTCCCATTTTTTTTCAGCCTGCCAGGTAAGATATGTCTTTTCGCCTTTTTGATTTTTTTGCAAATGGGGGCTGCCTGCACCTGAATTCCAAGCGGCAGTTCAGACATGTGCAGCACCTGGCCCCCTCACACACGGGTGCACACACAAAAACACTTAAAGGGAAGGTTCACAGCTTGGAGTTCAGGCATGCATGGCACCCACTTGCAAAAACCATTTAAAGTTAAATATGTTTTGCAAGTGGGCGCTGCCATCATCTTCCAAGAGGCTGTGTTCCCAATGTAATGACATCACTTGTGTGTGATGTCATCATGTCGGGAATGTCCCCTCCCGCTCCTGGAACACCCTCCAAAGCCCCCGCATTGGCCACAGGTAAGGACCTGGCAACCCATATATGGAATGTCCTTTCCTGAATGCTGTTTCCCTTGAAGCTCACACAAGGCACCAGGCTAGAACATTTCTGTTTATCCAGGTTTTGAATTAAAGAGTTAATCTTTTAATATGATTTCTATAGTGTATCTGTATTCTGGAAATTTAAATTCATTTTAAACTGCTCAGCCATTTTTATTATGTTATAGCTGGGTTTTTAATGCTAGGTTTTAATTAACAACTTTCAAAACTTTATGTAAACCATTTAGGCAGGTTGCCTGGAGAGACAGCATAAACAATGTCTAAATGAATAAACACATAAAGTTCCAGTTGCTGTGGTGGGAGAATGGCAGTGGGGCCAGGCCCTGTATGAATTAGGAAGAAAGAGTAGGCTCAGTTTGTAACAGGTTTAGGAATTCCAGACTTCTGAGGCCAACTTTATTGCATGAAGATTACTCTCAATAATTCCAATCAATGTCAGTTTAGTTCTTTGACAATAAGCCAAAATAAATTAATGAATCACCAGTGTCTTACAGCTAATTTTCATTTTTTCATCAAGTACAAATTCATCTGTCAGCCAACAGTATATTTAGCACATTATAGATAAATTCATTTAACCAGATAACAATCTGTCATATTCACTGGTTTTACTTGTCTATCACCACACCCCCCATCTAGAACTGATGAATGTTTTCCCTTCATTCAAAAGTATGTCCTTTCCTTTGTGGTAAACTGCAGAAATCATACAAATATTTCAAACTTGTAATGTAATTTTGTGATCAGCTTTGGAACACAGTTGTTGAATTAATTTCTTTTGAAATCAGTTTTGGCAGTTATCTTCTTGGCACTCTAAAAATTATTAATAAAACCTATATAACTTTTGAAAAATATTGTTTTTGACAACTGAAATCTACTGACAAGGATTTAATGGCAACTAAATAGATCCAGAATATCATTAATAAATTTAATAGCAAAAAGAAGTGGAACTAATATTTGTATGGATGGATCCAGACTAAATTTTCTGTTAAATGAAGGCACTTCCACTGGTGGAATTGAACTTTCCTGCTGTAAGTACACTGACCCTCTGTCTATCAGGAGGGGTCATTTCAACCATCAATGGACCCCCCAGGGGTGCCCCAGGAGTCCATATACCAGGCAACTTGACATAAATTGACACAAAGATGGAAGCCAGAACTGGTAGACTATAATCATGCCTAGGACATGACCCTGGAAAAAGCACATGAGATCTTGCCTTGACAGCTGCAACTACCCTCCCCCCCGCCAACATCTGCATACTCTGGACAATGGACCTGCTTTGCTCCAGAGTAATATCTTTCAATTTCAAATGCTAATCCCATCAATCTGATCTCATTTTCCTTCCCGCATTTCCTTGACAATGACAAATCCTGCCTTTTACCCATTTTCCACATCCCAAGACCAGGTGGTTCGTCAAGCATTATTGTTCTCATTTTGATTAGTTTATTTTAGTAATCCATTAGTCTTACAACCTCAGAAAACTAATCAGGAGCACAACCGAAAATACTTTACATGTAGAAGAAAGCTCTGGCCTCTTTTGTCCAGTCTTGGGAACTCTGTACAGAGTTTCCAAAATTACATTGTTTCACCCCTGATTAATCCCATCTTGAATCCCATTCTTTGTTCTGAGAGACTCCACACATTAACAAGTCCTCTGGACATGTTTTTAGGTATACAAATAGCACTCAGGGCTCAGTCTTGGTGTGCCTGGGTGCTCTATTGGCAGGTCACCCCCAAATTTGTTTGGGTCATTTTCCATCTTTCCAGTCTCTGTTCCATGGACTCCTGATCTCCTGGAAAGGTAATATAACCCCTATAACTGATCCTTTACATCTCTATTCTCACCTCTTTATTTCTTAGTTCTGGTTTGGGTGTATATCTTGATTGCCCAGTGTGACTGTAATCAGAAATATTCTTTAATAAAAACTATTTAATCACTGTTTAAATCTGGAGTCTTCATACTGAGCTGGACCTTGGTATATAAAGGGGTGTGATCCCTTGTACCCTCCTGGCCTTTTCTGTCTCATAGCTGATTTCCCCCAATATCAAGACAGGCCACTTGTGGTAACACTGCCCCCTCCCGGCAATCCAGTGATCTCTCCAAAATGTTGTCCTTGGGGAACAATGGACTCTCAAGAACAGCATGAAGGGCAACCTGGGGGGTCTGCAGCAGAAAGGGGAAATTGGCAGAAATTACACTTCTCTTTCCATCGAAGGAAATTTTATCCTGGTTCCATCCCACCAAAAATCCTTAAATTGCATGGAATTGAAGTATTTGTTTCATATTCTTCACCAGTTTAGCATTAGGGAAATACTCTTCTGTTACATTAATACAGTTTATACTAAGCTTATAACTAACCAAAAGGCAATACAAATATCTGACATGTTTACACCAGAATCTGGTACATGCAATGAAATCCTATGTAGAGTTAGTCCATTGAAATTAATGGAGAAACTGCATAGGATTACACTGTTAGACACAATTATCTGTTTCTTATGTTGTTGTTGGCAGTTAACATATTTCGAATAAATAAAAAAGGATTCAATATATTTTGGGTAATCTTCAAATGAGACTGGTCAGCCAAATTTCCTTGCGCACAAAAATTATGTTGGTACTAAGAAACATTACAAGATCTGTTCCAAAATTTTGAACTGCATGGAGTAATGAATAAAATATCTTCACAAAAGCAAAATAAAATGTTGTGAAGTGCTGCAGCTGAACCAGGTGTGGGGAAAACACTTAAACTTGGTACGCATATAACTTTGAATATGGAAAATTTATGTACAAAAATATATTGAAATATCACTATTTGTGTTTATTTTGGATAGACAGTGGATATGGAATATATGCAGGAAGGAGGAAAGAAATCTAAATATTTCAATGCCAAATCCCAAACCTCTTTTCCAAATTAAGCACAACTCATATAAGTAGAAAGCATTTGAACTAAAATCTCTAAAACATATTCAGCTTGTCTGAGACATGATGGTGTAGTTATATCCATATTGTTAAGTGCTTTTACTGGGTCTAGGATAGATTAAGATGAGAGTATCCATATAATTCTGAGAAAGCACCAAAACTAGAAAGAAACCTGTGGGATGTATTTGATTGTCTACTAGTTTTAGTCAATATTAATCCATGGATGTTTAAACCTCAAAGTCTCATAAATAGGTTTTGTGTGTGTGTATTACATTTAACAAACATAAACCAGGAGTTTTAGGAACCTGATATACAATTGTATATGCTTGTCCATGCTTGTCTATTCACAGGATGATGATGATATTGGTGGTATGGCAGTGTGTATAGTATGGCCAGGAGATCCTAAGATTGTCTGGCAGACAGAAGTTCTAGCTCTTTTAGTGTTATGCACCACTAGGTGGCAAGCTAGACTTTTAAAAAAAAAACAAGAGATTTTCAGAGGTGGTTTGCCATTGCCTGTCTCTGTCACGACCCTGGTATTCCTTGGAGGTTGCCCATCCAAATACTAGCCAAGGCTGACCCTGCTTAGCTTCCGAGATCTGACAAAATCAGTCTAGCCCGGGCTATCCAGGTCAGGGCTATTCACAGGAACAAGCAACATGCAGAAGCTGAGTGCCAGCTAGAGGTATCAGCTGGGAGCTGGATCCTCATTTTCTGTTGTGGAAACTTTGCTCTATACCCAGCAAAGTTTTTTAAGGAGGGGGGAATCAGAAGCCAACTCTCAGCTGATTGTGGAGCTCATCTGCAAGTCAGTTCTTCTGACCTTCTACCATGGAAACTTTGCTATGTTCCAGACTTGCTGAGATGCAGCAAAGTAAGGTGGGTATTGATCACAAGCCCCAGTCATTCCCTGGTGACCATTCCTGTTCTCCGCAGCCCAAGCTCTCAGTTGGGGGTAAATAGTGGGCCGGGGGGGAGGAGAATCAGATCACTTCTCTTATCTCCTCATCAGGCAGTTGGCTTGGTTTACAGAGAAATGTAATGTGGAATATTGCTTCTGTACACCCCAAACTGGGGGGGGGGGGGGTGATCTGTTTCTCAGCTGATCCTCCAATAAACTGTAAGTCAGCTTGTGACTAAAAGGCAGTTATTTAAAATATATTGAGAAGACTGTTTATTACCTATTGTAATCAGGGCTGGATTTAGATGAAGAGAGGCCCTAAGCTACTCCACTTGTGAGGCCCCTCCCAATCCCCCACCCTTACAACTAGAAGAAAATGGAAGAGTGTTATAAACAAAACTGGATTTAAAGATTTCCATAAACATCTATTGTATCTGTAGCTAGGATGTATCACAATAATAACTCACCCCAAAATACTATGCAGAAATGCAGAATAAAATGAAGCAGAGAAGCAGAGAAAGTAAGAAACAGCATGGTTTGATGATTAAAATGTCAGTCTAGGATGTATGAAACCTGGGTTGGAATCACCATTCTGCTACGGAAACTAGCTGGGTGACCTTGGGCCAGTCATACACTCTCAGCCTAGCCTACCTCACAGGGTTGCTGTGATGATTAAATGGAGGAAAGGAGAAGAATGTAAGCTGCTTTGGGCCCCTTGGGGGAAAAGTTTGGCTATAAATGAAGTAAAAAAATAAAATATTTGTTGATGTAAAACATGAATTAACTCTATCTGTTAATATTTTTTTAAAGTGAGTAACATATTTAGTAATGGATGTGTACAGGATGGTGAATAAAACTCTTTAAAGCTCCAGCTGACCATACTACTTCAAAAGTTCAATTTCAGGTGATTAAAAACCAGCAACAGAAAATAACAGATGGGTGAATCAGCTCCTGTGATAAAGTATTTTGTTTTCAGTTGATTCCCACTAGCAGTGGTGAATGAAATATTAAATGAAACAATTCTGCCTGAATTGTAAATACATGGTCCATGCCTGTTGTCACTCACTTGTGAGATTTCTTCCAGTTTGTTCCACTAGGCCCTGCACCACAGTCATATGCCTGGATGATGAATGTGTACTCCTTCTGCAGTTCACAGTCAATTGGACTTCGTGCTCGAAGACGACCTTCTCCAGATGTCTTATTTAGCACTATGGCTTCAAAGGGCATTTCCTGTCCGTGGATTTTAAAAGCACAGATTTCACCTGTAAGGAATAAACAGGACACAAAGTACACGGTAGTCAGTCTGACCAAAAAAGACGAGCAATGTGAACAGTTTTCTGAAAGGAACTGTAAATAACAGCTGATACCTAATTCCAAAGAGTTTGTTACTAATGAGGCATATGAGTAGTAAATGAGAAATGAGAAAAAAATGTTCATTCACTTTTATAGAATCCCTCAAGGGCCAATGAAAGGGGAGGGAAAGCCGACAGGAGATGAAAAGTCTCTGGTTCGGGTTGGATAATCTCAGAGAGATGATGGGGTAGTTGTTGCTTTTCTACAGGGAGGTGGATTGAAATTGTCCTCTGAGACCATGGCTAGTGACATGGACTGCCTGACAAGGTCTCAAGATAGCAAGAGGAAGGTTGCAGGCTTAACTTGTATGGGAAATTATAGCTGTTTCTATACAAATGCTAGAAATGTCGGAGGTAAAATCGGGGAGTTGGAGTGCTTGGTGTTGGAGGGAAAAATAGACATTGTGGGTATTTCAGAAACTTGGTGAGATGAGGAAAATCAGTGGGATACAGTGATTCCCGGTTATATATTATATCGGAAGGATGGGGGGGAAGGGTTGGAGCTGGGGTGGCTCTGTATGTCAGAGAGGGTATAAAGTCCAGAAAGATTGAGAGGCTAAGAGAACTGGATTCGCTTCTGGAAATTCTATGGGTTGAAATAGTCAAAAGGAAACAACGCTGGGAGTTTGTTATTGCCCACCAGATCAAAAGATAGAGGAAGATTATAAAATGATGAATGAATTAAAGATAGCAGCTAGACAAAAAAACCTGTGTCGTAATAGGTGATTTTAACTACCCACACATTGATTGGGTCAATATGTGTTCTAGTCAAGAAAAAGAGATTGAGTTTCTAGACACTCTAAATGACTGTGCTATGGAGCAGATGGTCACGGAACCTACCAGGGGAGAGGCGATCCTTGATTTGGTCCTAAGTAACACTCAAGACCTGGTGAGAGATGTAAAAGTGATTGCACCACTTGGAAACAGTGATCATAATGTTGTTGAGTTCAACATTTGTACAAATAGGGAATTGGCCAAAAAGACTCACACAACCACTTTTAACTTTAAAAGGGGTAATTTTTCTGATATGAGGGGACATGTGGGGAGGAAACTGAAGGGAAAAGTAGAAAGGGTCAAAACCATTGGGGAAGCTTGGAAACTGTTTAAAACTACAATTCTAGAAGCTCAAATAAAATATATTCCGCAGGTTAGGAAAGGCACAAACAGGTATAAGAAAAAGCCTACATGGTTAACAAACAAAGTAATGGAAGCTGTAAAAGGTAAAAAGGATTCCTTTAAGCGGTGGAAAGCTAGTCACAGTGAGGCTGATAAAACAGAACACAGGCTATGGCAAATAAAATGCAAGTCTGTGGTCAGGCATGCAAAAAGGGAATATGAGGAGCATATAGCAAAAAACGTAAAAACCAACAATAAAACTTTCTTCAAATACATTAGAAGCAGGAAACCAGCCAGGGAGGCAGTGGGGCCCTTGGATGACCAAGGGGTAAAAGGAGTACTGAAGGATGATAGGGAAATGGCTGAGAAGCTAAATGCATTTTTTGCCTCCGTCTTCACTGTGGAAGATGAGAGGTGCTTGCCCACTCCAGAGCCGCTGAGTTCGGGAGGGGTGTTGAAAGACCTGAGTCAGATTGAGGTGACGAGAGAGGAGGTCCTAAAACTGATAAACAACTTAAAAACTGATAAATCACCAGGCCCAGATGGCATACATCCAAGAGTTCTGAAAGAACTCAATTGTGAACTTGTGGATCTCCTGACAAAAATATGTAATCTCTCCTTAAAATCAGCCTCCATTCCTGAGGACTGGAAGGTAGCTAATGTCACTCCCATCTTTAAAAAGGGTTCCAGAGGAGATCCGGGAAATTACAGGCCTGTCAGTCTGACGTCGATACCGGGTAAATTGGTGGAAACCATTATTAAGGAAAGAATTAGTAGGCACATAGATGAACAAAACCTATTGAGGCAGACTCAACATGGGTTCTGTAAGGGAAGATCTTGTCTCACTAACCTGTTAATGTTCTTTGAGGGGGTGAACAAACATGTGGACAAGGGGGATCCAATAGATATTGTTTACCTTGACTTCCAGAAAGCTTTTGATAAAGTTCCTCATCAAAGGCTCCTAAGCAAGCTCAAAAATCATGGGATAAAAGGACAAGTCCTTTTATGGATCAAAAACTGGCTAATTAATAGAAAACAGAGAGTGAGTATAAATGGGCAGTTCTCCCAGTGGAGGGGTGTAAGCAGTGGGGTACCACAGGGATCAGTACTTGGTCCACTGCTTTTTAACTTGTTCATTAATGATTTGGAGTTGGGAGTAAGCAGTGAAGTGGCTAAATTTGCGGATGATACGAAGTTGTTCAGGGTGGTGAAAACCAGTGAGGATTGTGAGGCACTCCAAAGGGATCTGTCAAAGTTGGGCGAGTGGGCGTCAACATGGCAAATGGGGTTCAATGTGGCCAAGTGCAAGGTGATGCACATTGGAGCCAAAAATCCTAACTATAAATACACGTTGATGGGGTCTGAACTGGCAGAGACAGATCAAGAGAGAGATCTTGGAGTTGTAGTAGATAACTCACTGAAAATGTCGAGACAGTGTGTGACTGCAATAAAGAAGGCCAATGCTATGCTGGGGATTATTAGGAAGGGTATTGTAAACAGATCAGCCAATATCATAATGCCGCTATATAAATCAATGGTGCGACCTCATCTGGAATACTGTGTGCAATTCTGGTCACCACACCTTAAAAAGGATATTATAGCTTTGGAAAAAGTGCAGAAAAGAGCAACTCGAATGATAAAAGGGTTGGAACACTTTCCCTATGAGGAACGGTTAAGGCGCTTAGGGCTCTTTAGCTTGGAGAAACGACGACTGAGGGGTGACATGATTGAGGTTTATAAGATTATGCATGGGAAAGAGCAGGTAGAGAAAGAGGTACTTTTCTCCCTTTCTCACAATACAAGAACCCGTGGGCACTCCATGAAATTGCTGAGCGGTCGGGTTAGAACGGATAAAAGGAAGTACTTCTTCACCCAAAGAGTGATTAACACTTGGAATTCACTGCCACAGGAAGTGGTGGCAGCTACAAGCATGGACGGCTTCAAAAGGGAATTAGATAAGCATATGGAGCAGAGGTCCATCAGTGGCTATTAGCCACAAGGTATAGATAGGGACTCTGGGGCAAGTGATGCTCTGTCATCTTGGTGCTTGGGGGGGGTCAACAGTGGGAGGGCTTCTAATGTCCTGGCCCCACTGGTGGACCTCCTGATGGCAGCTTGTATTTCTGGCCACTGTGTGACACAGAGTGTTGGACTGGATGGGCCTTTGGCCTGATCCAACATTAGCGTCTCTTATGTTCTTATGTTCTTAGGGTCTAGCTCTAGCTCTACAGACTATGTATGAGATGCAAAGCTGATTCGTGTTTTTGCTCAGTTAGGAAACTCAATCGAGGCCATTGGGCATTCGTTAATACATCATGAAGTAGCATAAATGCAGGTTGGAAACTGACTGAATTGACCTTAATCCCATCAGTATAGTCGTGGAAACATAAATTGTACCAATAGAGGCAGAATGAACATGGAAAGCATGGCAGGTTATGCCAATGAACAGTACAGTTGCCTAGATGGCATGGGGAACATGTTTCCATTGCCTTTCTTTGGCACAGGGTGAATTTTGCACATTTTTATATGGTCCCCCAGATGATCATTGAAAGGGGTGGATCTGACAGTACCCAAATGGAAACTTTTTTTTTCAATTTATAAAACAGCTATTTTTGTACTCTTAATAACATACTGAACTCCCAAGTGATGTTAGATGTATCATAATTAGGGTAGTAGATAGCACTGAACTATGCAGAATTCATTCCTTCTTATAAAGTTTACAACAAAGCCACAAAAATGTACATATCCCATATCTTCTCAGACAATGATGCAGTTCTCATAACTGTTAAATAGTATCCTGAATATCAGGAAAAAACTAATGTATGTCAAAAAGAAAGATATTGCTTGTTTCCCTCAGAAATTAACATTCTGACATCTAGCATGAAGGCAGCATATTCAAATGAGTTTTTGTTTTGTTTTATCAAGGCTTAGACATTCTAGTGTCAGAAGCTTACATTCATGGAACATCTTCTCAGCTTCTAGACTTTGTTTAGGATGGGTGATTGCCTTGCCACATCAACTATACTTACAGCTAACACGATTGTGACAGGGTTTAAAAATTACTAACAGTATCTGGCTGAAATGAAAAAACCCAGGAGTATTTTAAAGCCTGATTAAAATATTTATGGTCAATAGAAAGGAGTACAGTAGTACATGTAATGCATTTGGCTTCTGAGTTCAATGAAAAAGTCAGCATTTTTAAAGCCTAATAAATTACTTAAAACCTACTAGGCAACACTGAAATCACAGAGAGAGACTCTGGTATATTCATCAGCAAAGACATAAAGATTTTATCCCTGTCTACCTTATTAATATCTCAAGAAAAATTGCTGAGTAGTATTAATATTCTCAACATTATTTGGACATGCCAAAATTAACTGGGGGAGGGGTGGGAAGAGTATTCCAAGTCACACCCCCCCAATAAGAACAGATGCCTTCTTTAATATGATATTATTAATATTTCTTACATTTGATATAAATGGGTTTTTAAATTCTTTTTTGGGTTTTTTGGGGTATTTTCCATATGTGCATGTGTGTATGTGAGTGTGTGTGCATTTGGAAGTCATGGTGACCTCTGGTGACTGACTGTGTGTGCACCTGGAGGCTGGGGGCCTGGACGACATTCAGAGAGGTGGCTGAATAAAGCCTGCCCTGGCTCCCGACTGCTAGTATTCTAAGAAGGTCTCCCATCGAAGTACTTGCCAGAGTTGACCCTGCTTAGCCTCTGAGATCTGATGAGAGCAGGCTTGCTTGGGCTATCCAGGTCAGGGCTTTTCATGGAATTCTGCTATCCTTTATTCTTAGTGATTTCACTCCATTAAGAAAGGAAAGTGAGACATCATATAGAAAAACAAATACACACACACTTTTTTTTAAAGCTAAATACCAGAAGGTAACTTTTTTAGAGGTTGCACTATTTCAACCGGGCCTGCAGTCTTTCCTATTGTTTAAGTATATCGATGGAGGAAGTATATACTGCACTGATTAGATATGCTGGAAAAGTTTCTCCAAATCCTAAGAACCTTCACTGTGAGCATTTCACCACTGAAAAAGAAATCATATTCACATTTCAGTGGGATTACATTTAAAATATCTATTTTTAGGTTTGATGTCTTCTGTTATACTTCTGCAGGGTTTGTTCCTAATATAAAGATCTGATTTGGTTGACAAACTGATTTACAGCTTAAATGAAGACTGTACATTAAAGGACTTTGAAGGTCTCATTTGTATATCATCCGCTTTGGGAAACTCATTTGTACTATATATTGTATACTGAGGACTACTTAGCCTGTTGACTTTCAGTCTAAAACTAGGGCCAGGGCCTTTTCAGTGGCAGCTCCACTCTGGTGGAATGAGCTCCCAGAAGAGATCAGGGCCCTGCAGGGCCTTTTACAGTTCCGCAGGGCCTACTGCCTTTGGGATGGGACATAGGATGGAAGGAGGCTGAGCTGAGTTATTTCTCCACCCCCTTCCCTTAATTCTCTGCCCAGTCCCACCACTGTACTTTCCCCTCCCCAAGAACACTGGTATCACCTGCTCAGCAATCCCCTAGATGGTCTTCATTGAGCCACAGCCACAAATATTAAAACATTACAAAGTGCTAGTGCTAGATGGTTCATATACGATGGTGGGCATGGGCAGAATCCAACAAAACAAACAATCCGCTACCATTGTAGTCTGGGTTAATATTGATGTTGATGTTAGGATTGGGGCCAGGGTCTCATTTTGTATGATGCAGCTACCTAGTCGAAGGCTTAGTGGAAGAGCTCCATCTTACAGGACCTGTGGAATTGTAAAAGGTCCTGCAGGGCCCTGATGTCTTCTGTGAGCTCATTCTACCAGGGCAGAGCCACCACTGAAAAGGCCCTGGCCCTCATCATAGCCAGCCTGACTTCTCTGGGGCCTGGTAGAGCCAAACGATTTTGGGACCCCGATCTTAGTGCTCTCTGGGGAACATGTGGGAAAAGGCAGCCCTATGTAGAGAATATTACAGTAATCCAGTCTCGAGGTTACCATTGCATAAATCATTGTTGCCAGGTCATTGTGTTCGAGGAAGGGAACCAGTTGCTTAATCAGCTGAAGGTGATAAAAGGCTGACTTTGCAGTGGCTTCTACCTGGGCCTCCATTGTTAAGGAGGCATCCAGGATCAAGCGCCTGACCTCTGGCTGGCACTGGCACCAATGGTGCCCCATCAAAGGTTGGGAGTGGGATCCCTACCCCCGGGCTGCTCCGACACAGGCACAGGACTTCCGTCTTCATTGGATTCAATTTAAGTCAACTCAGTCTAAGATAAACAACCACAGCTTTCAATGGCAGACCCAGATCTTCTGGGCTAGAGTTGGACTGACCACCCAACAACATAGAGTTGGGTGTCGTCAGCATATTGGTGACAACCCAGCCCATGACTCCGGGCACTCTGGGTGAGAGGGAGCATGTAGATCTTGAATAACATTGGGGAAAGCACCACACCTTGGGGAACTCCACAAACTAGCAGGCGCCTTTGGGACAGCTGCTCCCCAATGGCCACCCTTTGTCCCTGACCCTGAAGGAACAAGGAGAGCCACTGTAAGGCAGACCCCTGAATCCCAGTGTTGGCGAAGCTGTGGATCAGTAGTTGGTGGATGACCATGTCAAACACCGCCAACAGGTCTAACAACAATGAAACCGCCAAACCACCTTGATCCAGATTCCTCAGGAGATAATCCATGAGGGTGACCAGTGCTGTCTCCGTCCCATGGCCTGGTCAGAAGCCGGTCTGGAAGGGATCTAATGCAGAGGTGTCATCCAAAAAAACCCTGCAACTGAATCACCACCACCCTCTCAATTAATTTGCCCAAATATGGCAAATTGGAAACCAGCCGGTAGTTAGCCAATTCAGCTGGATCCAAGGATGGTTTTTTCAAGAGAAGGCGTACCACTACCTCCTTGAGTGCCCCAGGAAACAGCCCCTGGTGGCCAGCTTTAATCAGCCAAGACGGGCTGCAAGTGGTCGGGCGAACAGTTGAGAGTAATTTGTCAACCTCTTCTAGGCCAAGTGGACTGAAATAATCCAAAACTTGACAAGAAGACATGCATGAAGCCTTGAGTTCCCTTACTGTCTCAACTGTGGTGGGAAGGTCATGGTGGAGTGACAAGACTTTATCTGCGAAATAGCTCGCAAAAGCCTCACAACTAATCTCCAGTTCCTTAGCGTTTGGTTTGCCCTGTGGCAGAGTAGTAATGGACTAAATCGTTCTAAATAATTGGGCTCGGTGAGAGTTCACAGATGCAATCATGGCTGCATAGTAATCTCTTTTCGCGGCTTTGACCACCATCTCATAGGATCTCAGAAACGTCCTATAGGATGCTCTTGTAGCTTCATCATGAACACACCACCACAGTCTCTCTAGCCATCTGAGCCCTCGCTTCATCAGCCACAAATCCTGTGTGTACCACGAAGTGAGCCTAGAGTGAGGGTGCAGAGGACATCGGGGGGAGATCTCATAGATGGCTGCCGAGAGTCGGTTATGCCAGTCCTCAACAAGCTCATCTAATGAGCCACCAGGGGGCATCGGATCCTGCAGGGCCATCTGGAGCCGCATAGGCAAACTCATTCTTGCAATACTTTACCATAGCTGTCCCCCCCCCAAAAAACATTTTATATCCAAAGGGGTGGGGGAATCAGGTTATAAACAGGTTGTCTCTCATTTCGGAATGAATTATCCACAGCCAAGAACATTTCCTATTTTGGGAAGGGGGATTCTTTTCCTTGAAGGCGTGTGCTTCTGTGGCTAACAAACCCTTATTCAATTTCATTTCAGGTTCCCAGGCTCCTAGCTGTGCTCCTCCAAACTAAATCATTAAGTGCAGGCACAGGATATGTTGAAGTCAAAATTGACTAAGGCTTCCAGTGTTTAAGCAAGCCTTGGTCAATCTAGTTTCAAGTTACTAGACTGAGCTACAGAGCTGCTTTTCTCTAGACTAAGAGTGCTCAGCCAGTGTATTTGTGTTATGTTATTTTTTTAGGGTGCTAAATATATTAATAATGTTCAGTCAATCAATAACAATGATCCTGACCAGACCTAACACCACTGACTAGCATATTTGGACATCTGCCACCATCAAGTCTTCCAATCCAATTAACAGCAAGCAAGGAAGAACATAGCTGCCACTACCACCATCTGCCTAACCCTAACCTCATCTTGCATGCAACTGACATGAGTCTATTTTCTTTCATACAAAAGTCCCCTCTCTCATGTGTTACGTGTGGAGTAACTATGTGGACTGGATTGGGTGATGTATGGGTCATCATAGCCCCTTAGGGGAGGGGCTGTCGCTCAGTGGTAGAGCATCTGTTTGGCATGCGGAAGGTTCCAGGTTCAATCCCTGGCATCTCCCCTTGAAAGGACCAGGTAGTAGGTGATATGAAAGGCCTCTGCCTGAGACCCTGGAGAGCTGCTGTCAATCTGAGTACTGACCTTGATGGACCTATGTTCTGATTCAGTATTGAGGCAGCTTCAAGTGTCATCATTGTGTATTAACTGATGTATTGATATGGATGGCTAACATAGGGACATCATTGCTGTGCAATAATGCATGTGAATGATGGGTAGTAGTAAAATTGTTCTGTTAAGTGTTAGTGTTATTGTAACGATTCCTTGTTTTATTTGTGTGTGTGTGTCTTTAAAAGTTTGGTTGCATGGCGGTGAGAGATAGTCTAGGGTGGTTGAAACAGGCAAGTGGTGTGATTGGTGAGTGACAGAGAGGGGGAGGGGTTTGGGAATTGATGCTGTGTGGATGAATATGTATGTCTATCAGGAGTGACAGAAGTTTGACAGTTGAGGATGACAGTTGTTAAGTTAGTTAAGTTCTGAGTTCTGTGAGAGAAGCAGGAGTTCAGTTAAGCTCTGTGTATGAAAGGAGTGAGAAGCAGTTCTGTGTGAAAACAGTTAAGCTGTCTGTTGATGTTGTTCAGAGAAGAAGAAAAATTATATGAATGCCTGCGTGAAAGACTGGAGAAACAGTGAATTTACATGACCTTGAGTTAGTGTTACAAAGTTACATGCCAAGATCCCTGACAGTGGAGAGAAAAGTGTGTGAAATACCCAAAGCAATTGTTCAGTATTTACCCATTCCTAGATACAGAGTCCTATCCTGTTATTTATGAATTATTTCAATAAATCTTCTTTTATTTAAGTCTGCCAGCTCTGAAAGAAATAATTTATCAGGAAACACATAGACCCTCATGAAAGCCTAAACCCTCGACCTACCTACCCAGTGATAGAAATATTATAGAAAAAGGTTTGGAAAGCCTTAAATTTCCTGGTGGCAGCCGTATACCCAGTTGAACAAAACATAAAGAACACTTTTAAAGTAAACCCAGACCTCCCCAGTTAAGGGGTCATCACAGTTATAACCTTTAGTGTGTGTGTTTTTATAGATATTGTGCTGTTGACTCTGAGCAGGGTCATGACTGTTATACTGGTATTACCTCTTCAAGGTGCCTGCTCATTTGCTTCACGGTGTTGGGTGTCCAAAAATATTAACTAAATCTGAGCAACTGATGCACACTAACTTATAATACATCAGCCATACAAAAAG